ACCTAAGAGCGAAGACCTCCAACTTTGACCGCTTTGCTGTCTTGTGGTTTCTTGTCTCCAACTTACTAGCGATGGCCTCTCAACCTGCCTTCGATGGCCTCTAACCTAAGAGCTATGGCCCCAACTTTTGCACCTTGTTTTACTCAGGTTTTTTTAACCTACACCGCTGTCAAGTCAGTACGCATATCCATGAGTGTGTGTGTCCACCTCTGTAACTAAGAGTTTCTGCTTTTTCTCAACTTTCAAGTTGCGGGGGCGTGTGAAACTCTTATCCTACCACACGCAACGAAGCTGTGGATAAGAGTGGGAAGGGAAACTTGGCCAGTTTCCTGCACCTGCGACGCAACTGTTGGTCACGCTGTCCAATTTGCTTTTTGATTCCGTGGTGGTTTCATGATACTCCCCACAAAGGCTGCCGCCAAACCGAACAACCTTTTGGCCTCGAAGACCAAAGAGTCACCCCTAGTGCTCCGCCAAACCGGAGAACCCTACAACCTCATGACTCTGTTTTAAAACAGGCGAAGAGGAGACACTTTTTCCAAACTTCTCAGACTTTTCGGCTCTGACGCTTGCTTCGAAGATTTGCCCTTACTTGGAATGAATCAAATAAATTCGGCGAAAATTCCTATTTGCGTTTGTCCAACGGAGCTTCGTTCCCGTGAGGACTGCAAGACCATCGTTGGTATAAGTACGCGCCGTTCTGGCGTTCTCCTAGCGACCATAAACCAACAGGCGATCAAGCTGGCTCCACTTGGTAAACCAGTAGGTGGTACCACCTCTCCGGAGAGAGTATGGTCTGAAGTCAGAAGACGCAAAACCCACTGCGGTCAAAGTGTCATTAAACATTTTACGCCAGCGGGCCGGCGCATCGCAAATTGACTCTGTAGGCTTAGCTTGCTAGCCACCGACGCTCTCGGCTGCGCCTTGTCGTTGTCCTCCTTTGGTAAAACCGAGGGACACCACTGCCGGTCCTCGAACCGACTCGACGGCAACCGACTTATAGCAGTCAACCCCAGGATCTCTCCCGTACGCAGGACTCCATAATATCCCACGAGGAGTGACAACGCAAAGCGATGCTGTTTGCGAAACACGGCGCGCCCAACCATGGTATGGAGAGCATCTTCCGACAAAGGCAGCGCACGAGATGGGATCTCATGCACACTCCAAGCCTTTAAAAGGCGCCACGTAGCAGGCATCCAGGTAAATGCACAGCAATGTATCCAACTCATGAGCTTGGTCCGGAATACGACGTCCTTCTTCACGTAAAAAGCTCCAGAACTGCTCCAGGGCCTTCTTGTAGCGGTTGCGGGTTGACTCCTCTCCTCCTGAGCGTCCTTCAACATACAAGCGACCTACTTTTCCCATCGACGAGCGACTGGGCCGGTCCGCAGGGCTTTGGTCCGTATGGACATACCCGGACCAACAGGAGAGAGTTGATCTTCAACAGAGTGCGCCGTAGTTTGCGGCTACTGGACCTAACGAGCCAAGGAACGCACACGCACTTGCGAATCAACGAACATCGCTCACAAAGGCCGCGCGCAACGCCCAGGCAATAAATCAACCACGCGACAACAAAAATACACTGAGTTCCCAATCAGCGACATCCGCTCATCAACCCAAGCTTGGCCACTGCGTTGCCCTTTGGGATAGCACTGAACCAATGAGGACTTCCCTTTCCTCAGTGGGCCATGTCGCTCGGCACTATCTCGCAGCGCTGCGCTATCATCCAGCTCGCGCCTGAAGCTATCGCTTCCAGGCTCTTTAGCCGTTGAACTGCCATATCGACCGCGAGCGCGGCCTGGCTGGTGAGGAGGCAATCAACAATTGTGGACAAATTCGAGGCCTCCCTTGACATCACGGCCGTCATCCTGTCCTTGAGGACTTGCCGATAAAAGCGGACCGCGATGGCGTTCATGCCCACTTCTCCATCGGCCACCTCGCCCATCTCCAGCAACAACTGTTTGCTCACCTCGTTTAACGAATGAGCGGCTAGAGCGCCCGGTGCGGAACGAGCTGCACCTTAAGGTACGCCCTCGTCGCCACTCTCCTCTACGCTGCCCGAGCTCGAGCTTCCTCTTCCTTTCTTTTTCATGACCTTCCTGGCGATCCTTGCCACCTTTCTCCTGATCTTTGGATTCTTGTCCAGGCCGGTCTTCTCGAACACTGCGCTGAATGGCTTCTTGGGCTCCATCTTGAAGACCCTCCTCTTTTTCCCGAAA